AGTAGGCGAGCAGCGTCTGGGGCGGGGGTTGGGGCCAGGATGGGGCCCCAGCATCTGGGGTCGGGAGAGCAAGGGCACTCGAGGCTGACCTGGTAGTACTGGGCGCTCAGGAAGGTGCCCACGACTGTGGCCCAGCCGAGCCCTTCCCACCGAGGGGCAATGTGCGCGACGAGCGCCACGTGCCCACGCTGAAGCCGCTGCCCGAGCGCAAACTCGAGCACGACCATCGGTATTGCAGCAAAGAAGAGCGCGATCAGATAGGGTAGCATGAACGCACCGCCTCCGTAGCTGTAGGCCATCATCGGAAAGCGCCACACGTTCCCAAATCCGATCGCGGAGCCGATTGATGCCAGGAGGAAGGTGGTGTGAGACGACCACCGCGACCGTGGCTTGCCATCCGTCGCTTCCGCTGCGTGTGCGCTGGCCCGAGCAGCGGAGTTCTGCTGCTCGTCTCGGGCGAGCTCTGGCATCGTAGGCTTTCACGAGCGAGCCACCGAGTCGACGGCGGCAAGATTTTTCTTTTTCTTTTTTTTGAGCTTCCATCAAGGTTAATAATAAACAAACGCAAGGCGGAGAGGCACATCGCTCTCGGGCCCACGGACATCCCGCACACCCGCCGCCCCCGCGCGCGCCCCACCCCGGCCGGGAGAAAGGGGAGTGACAGTTTGGGACGACGGCAACAGAACGAGTGTCTTGCACTCCATGTGCAAGAACGCAGAGAGAAAGAAATGAAAGCCGCCCGGCACACAAGTCCGGCTCACGCGCCCCGACTGTGGACTGACCGATCTACCGCACTGACCACTTCCGTCGACCGTCCCCTCGCTCCCAAGACCCATGGTGAGGTATGACGATGGCGAGCGTCACTGGGAGAAGGAGGCGGCAGTGGAGGAGGGCGACGAGGAGTGCAAGGAGGAGGAGGAGGAGGAGGGCGGCGGCGGCGGCGGCGAGGAGGAGGAGGAGGAGGAGGAGGAGGAGAAGGCCGATGGGGAAGAGGATATGGCCGACGAGGAAGACTCTGATGAGGAGGTCGAGGTGGAGGCGACAGTGGAGGGAGAGGCGGAGGGAGAGGCGGAGGAAGAGGCGGAGGGAGAGGCGGCGACGGCGGAGGATATGGTGGAGCCGTTCGACCTGCCCAGCACCGTGCAGAAGCTCAAGCTCTATTTTCCCAGCGCCGCCTCGACCGCCGGCGTCAAGCCAGCCCTCGAGCAGATGGAGCGAGAGATTTACGGCGAGGTCAAGGTGGGTGCC